TTGTTCTTCCCGCACATACAACACACATTTTACAAGTATTTGATGTTGGCATTGCCAAAAGATTAAAGTCCAAATTCACGGATTATCTGAGAGATTACATTAAGGCACCGAAGCAAGAGTTCAACAGCAATGCTGCAATGATGCGCTACGCCATTATCTACTCATTTATTAGCGCATGGCAAGAATCAGTATCATTAAGAACGGTTCAAAATGCTGCCGCCGCCTGCGGTCTTTGCCCTTGTTCTGTAGAAGCTCTCAAACATAATAAGTATGTTCGTGAATTGACTCCTGCAGAAAAAGAATTGCAAGAGAAAAGAAATTACCGTAATCGAAATCGTTTTAACATCAATGGTGAAGAATTGACGACGATGGACATGATTTGCGCAATTTCTGACAATATTAAGAAGAATCCTGCAAAATCTGTGATTTGCAGGAAGCCAGAACAAGACACCAAGGAACGTTTCTACTTTTGGATTACAAACTATCTTGATCCCAGCACTGAGTTGTTGACAAAACTCCCTAATATGCCAGGTTATAGTCCAAATGATTAGGAAAATTTTCCAATTTTCCAACAAAAATTTTCCAATTCTCCACCAAAAATTTTTAATAAAATATTATTTTACGGCATTGCCCGTCACTTTTTTCGGTACAAGGCTAATATCACGGTATAACCCCCCTGAAAAGACTTTAGGTAATAATAAAATTTTTAATTGAGATAAATTAAAAAAAATCTTAGGAGAATGTTATGGATTTTCTTCATTGAACCATTCGATAAATGAGCATCTTTGCGAGCCATTTGTGTTCGAGAGTCTTGTACCATAAAGGTGGCATCTCAGCAGTTGAGCATCCTTTCAATGCATTGATATCTGTTGATGGAACAGAGTATGCGACTTCATCATTGATCATGATCCAATATGCACTTTTTTGCAAAAAGACCACGTAGTTAGTATCCCTATCTTGGGTACGGCGGCACTGCGTTCCACCTTACCCAAGATAACGGTTTGACACTTTACAAAATCGCTAACGTATATTTTACAACACAAACGACAACACTAACTTAACCTTAAATATTTATAAAGCCGCCAACCACTTCACCTCACTAACATTTTCGCTAACGACTTCACTAATGAAAAAATAAACGTTCTCACTAACGTTCCCACTAATGTTCTCATTTACAAAAGTATTGCAGCGCTTCCCATTGCTGTGCTTCACACAATAGTTCATATTCTTCAGTATCGCTGCTGTCACTCCAATCGTCAGAGTCAAAGTCACTGTCAAAATAAATGTATGTAAGTTTTGACAAAGCTAATGAAACACGCTTACCGTTTGTATCTATTGCTTTTATATATCTCCCATTATGTTTGTTGTCATAAACGCTCAAACTAACTTTACCCCTTCTCCCTCGTATCTGATAAAATGTATTTTCACGAGGAACGAAGAACAAGTTCTTGAACTCATGACCGTTGTAGTTTGTTATCTCAATAGTTTTCGTCATTTATATAAAAATAAAAATTTTCAGTAAAAATAAAACTAATGAAATATTTTATTCCTCACTGTCATCTGCTTTCTCCAACTCTTCTAACTTCTTCTTAAGTTCAGCAATGTTGTCCTCATGAAGTTTAATCTTTCTCAAAATTCCTTCTTTATCTAATGGTTGCTTTATCTTTCTAAACTGAACTCTACCATCCTTCATAGTATGAATGTAAAAACCTTCTGGAATAGTTCCTGATTTAATGTATTCTACCAAAAACTTTTGTTTCATTGCTTCAGTGACTTTAGTCGTCATTTCAATCAAATAAAAATTTTAATATTAAATAAAAATAACGTTATTTTTTTTCAGTAAGGAAACGCAGGAGTTTTACGATTTATTTGAGGAGTAGGTTCTGGTTTAAATGTTGGAGTCGGTTTAGGAGTTGACTTTTGAATAGGAGTTTGTACTTCCATAGGTTCAGGAGTCATTGAAGGTTTTGCTTGTGAAGGCGTTGGTTTTGACGTTGGTTTTGGCGAAGGTGTTGGAGTTTGTTTAACTTCAGCTACTTCAGTATTATTTACAACATTTGCTTTATTTCTTTTCAACATCATAACTGCTCCTGCTGTAGCTAGCAAACCTAGTGGGAGACCATATCTTATATAAGGACTTGACCAAATGCTATTTTTGACAGGAGCTGGTGGAACACCTAACCTTGGTGAGACTGCTCTTTGCCATTGTGCAGCTCGTAAGAAATATTCAATAGGTGCTCCATAATCGTTTGGTAAAGTTTGTTTCATAGATGGTGAAGGTTCACGAGAGCTTGATGAAGAACTCATTTATAAGCTTTAAAATAAACGTTCATCCTTTATTCCTCACTGTCGTCCGCAGCTAAGTTATAGTCATCTAATCTTATTATTGGGATTCCATTAGCACGCACCTGAATGGCAAAGCAACAATCCCTCATAAATCCAATAAGTGGCTTTGGTACATTTTCAGTTGCTAGTTCAATAGGTCCTTTAACAGACAATTTGTATGTTATTGGAGCAGTAGATGTTTGACCTTGCTGGAAGCAAAAGTCCACTTCTGTTGGAAAACCACATAAGAAATGTGTGTTGTCATAGCTATCCCATTTATGTTCCACACTACCATCATCCACCAATGACCTCATAACATCTTCATTAAATCCAATCATATCATTGTTTGTATTGCAAGCGTTCGCAACCATTTCATAAAATACAGGTCCATATGATTTTTCAGGTTCTGCAGGCATATTTCCATAAGCTCCCATGGAAAGCTGAAGATATTTAAACTTAGGGTTCTCAAAATTAACATAATAGTTGTCTTTCTTTCTAAATAGTGCCCAAATACTTTTAACATTAATAGGCGTATAAGCTGCTGTAAATGTTGCACTTGAACTATCTGTATTCTTTGAGAATGAACCGTCCATAGGAATCCAATCCATAACTTTAACAGGAAAACATAAAGCCTCGTTTGTATAATGTTCTACAAGTTCTGTATAAATGTTAGGGTCTAAAGAGAATGATTTTGGATGAATGAAACATTCATTAAAATCCATCTTTGTTCGAAATAGTTGCTGGGTTACAGTTGTAATAGTAACTGTTCCACTAGCTTCTACTGCCTTCGTTATCATAGTGAATGGTTCATTCCATGGAACAAATTTATTTGTCGGTGGATTTGAATCTGAAGCAAATGCAACTTTAAGAGTTGGATTGAAAGCAATGATATCATTTACAGATATAGATGTGCATTGTAAGGCGTCGCTACTGAACTTTACTTTAAGCTGAATGTTTCCTGCAAAAGCTGGAATAAATCGAATAGCTTCTAATGGAAGGAATCTTCTAACAGGAATTCTTAAACGAAGCTTAAAATCAAATGATTTTCCTGCTGTAATTGGACCACTAACAATTTGTCCTGTTCTGCATGTTCCCGAATGACTCCATACATCTTCATGTCGAGTCTTTGAGAAAACATCTACTTTCTTTATTTGTTCGGTAGTTTGTGAGTTTGAAGTTATATATGCTTCTTCTCTTGCGTTGTCTTGAGAATATACGATACGACCATTTGCAAGGATTTGATATCCAGCAACTGCATAGAAAGCGTCATCGAAACCAATCCAAAATCCTGGTGGGTTTGTTTTATTGGAACCTGAACCAATTTCTTTATCTACAATAAATTGACCTTCCATTTTATACGTAATGAATGTATTGTAAAGGTCCAACATATTTTCACCAGGAGGTGAGAGATTGAATGTTACCCATGTGTTATCTTTAGCAGTTCCAGGTTGTGATGGAATCTTTGCGTCAGAATATTTTCTATTAGTGTCACCAATTTGAACTGCATTGTCTATGATATCGAAATATGAGCGAATCTGATGAATATGCTCTGCTGGAGTAAATTCGTTTAGCTGTTCGTTCTGCATGTATTTACTTCAGATAAAAATATCTATTTACTTCATTATTCTCACTCTTCTTCTTGGCATTCGTGGTGGAAGTTGTTTCTTGACATTTTCAATGAACTGTACATTCTCTTTTGTCTCAACTTCTTTCACTGGTGGGTCAGGGTTCTTTGACTCGGTTTGCTTTTCAATGAAATTCACGAACTTTGCAATAAGCTCTTGGTTCGTTATTGAAAGAACATCTGGCTTCTTTTCTTCTGGTTCTATTGACTTTTCAGTTTGAATAGAAGGTTTTATATGGGCTTCGCCCTCGGTGCCATACACCTTAATGTTGTCGCTTTCTGCATTCGCTAATGGAACCTTTCTTTTTCTTACGTATATTTTACCATCTTTACTCTGACTTACGTAATAGAAAGGATGTTGTATTCCTCTTGTGTCATTTAATATAATAGACTCTCGCTCTGATTTTGACAAGCTCATTTTACATCGGTTAAAGTTTTAATTTTATTTTTTATCTGCAGTCAAATGACTCAGACAAGCCCTACGGACAAGACCCAAGGGGTCATAGATGTTGAAGCATTGAAGAAAGAAATTCGTGAGCAAATTTTATCCGAACTGAAGGAACAAAAGCCAGAGAGACCAAAGAGAAAACTTAGTGAAAAACAACTTGCTGCATTAGCTGCTGGAAGACAAAAGAACCCACGTTTGCTGGCGAAGAAAGCTAGAGAAGAAGCTGAAGCAAAAGCTAAAGAAGCTGAAGCAAAAGCTAAAGAAGCTGAAGCAAAGAAAGAGTAAATGGTTTATTTTTATCCGAATTAAATGTATAGACAAATACCTTTATCTGTTGCGTTCAGTAGTGAAAACCCCGACGTCAAAATAAAGGGGAACAGAGTAACGTTTAAGTTTCCAACAGACTGGATTGTAAACATAAATGAAGAGAAGTACATTGGCATAACATCTATGTATATAACACGTGCTTTCAGAAAGGTTGACTTTATACTTCAAGTCGAGATAGAAAATGACGAACAGTCTTTAAACGCCCAAAACATTCACATATACAAATACTTTAAAGACGATACAACATTGCAACAATGTATGATTTCATTTAATGAGATGTTCGAGAAAAAGTTCAACATTGAAGTACAAACTTTACAGCCTTTACGTGAGTTTCTTGCACAACTGAAAGAAGAAGGTAGTCAGCCACAACTTATAGACTTTCATTATGAATTTAATGAAAATGAAGATGGAACTCATGACTGTCAGTTTGTTGTATTCTCACCATTCAATGAAGTCGCTAAAGAGAAAGAAAATCCATTACGTATAAGATTTCAAATCTCTGAACCAAGTGATGATTTCAAGAATGTTTTCAATTATGATGCAATGCTTCCGAGGAAAAATGAATTTTCAAAGATTGTAACACCTGGCATTTGGGATAGAAAGCAAGCTATATTATATTCAAACTTAAGTAAGGGAGTTGAAAATGAGTTCATTGGTCATACAAGAACTTCACCACTTCCTAACCCTAAATACTATAAATTAACTGGCTTCAATCGTGAGTTTTGGATAGACATGTTCTCCACTCATGACCATAACTGCCCAGTGTTCTTACCTCCAGACCATAAGGACTGTCTCTACATTGAAGCACAACTCTTAAACTCTACCATCGCAGTATTGTAAATGACCACATGGACTTCGCCCTTGCCGCTAGCGGCTTATTTTTATCACGAATGACCCCATTGCTGACAAAAATAATTGACCTTATTATTTTTCTCATTCATGACCTCAGAACTTAAGGTTTCTTATGAATGAAGTCTTAGTCTGAATAGAAAAGTTAAACTTTTCAGCAAAGCAAGGACTAGAAGACTTACATAAGTCAAATCCAATCTCATGACCATCATGAAGTGCTTTGTAAAGTTTCATAACACTGAACTCAGAGTCTTTGTCAAATTTTCCTTGCGGAACCATTAAACCTTTATCTTCATCATAGAAACACTGAACAGAGTCAGGAAACATTTCATTAGCGGTTAAAGCAATAACATCTTGCTTCACGCCTTTCATTCTGCAGTGAAATGCAACTTCATTTAAATCATTCGTGAGTAAGTCTATGTAAGTCTTCTTTCCACAAAATATTGACTTGTATGCTAAACTTTGTTTATCTTTTGTGATTTCTGCAAAGTCGCTATGAAATTGACCAAGGTTTTTACCAATGAGAACTCTTCCATAACGTTTCTCAAACTCTTCAGCTAAACGAGGGATATCTTCATTGTAGAGATGCATACTGTCCGTATCGCTATAAAAGATGTCCATTCCTAAGTCCTCAGCAGTACAGAATACTTCACACATTATTCTCTTCGACATAGACAGAATGTTAACACCAAGTGGACAGAAGTTAAAGTGTCTGCAAATGCTTTTCGTTAGCTTGAAAATAGTTTTATCTGAACCATCCAAACCTTCGAACTTCACTATATGGTTGTAGTTTCTGATGGCATATCTTATAGCATCTTTGTCATCTACTATGGTTATTTTTGACTCAATAGGAGATAGAATAGTTTTGCCATAAATACTGTTCAGAATGAGCTTTATATTTTCTTGCAAAGGATTTCCTTCTTTCTTATACTTTAACCTTAACTCAAACAACTTCTTTACTTCATCTCTTATTCTAATATCTCTGTTTCCATCGTAATAGTATCCTTGCAACACTTCACATTTGACACCTTGATATTTTATGAGGTCTTGTAATGTTATATGGTCAACATACATTAAACAGCAAGTGTTTGAACTTCTGGGAACGTTAAGTTCTGGATTTAGTTCAGGGTCACAAACTATTAAAGGAAAGTGTCTATGTATTCCAATCTCTGTTATCTTAATGAGAACAAAGAAGCCAGACATAAACTTTTCACCAATGGGTTCCTTTTGGTCGTCATCGAATAAATGCTTCAAATACTCTGTGCTTAACATTCATCCTTCATAACCTTTGGAATTCCTTCTAAAGTATAAAGTCTTGCTATAGCTGATGGATATAATGAAACAGCGTCGAAGTCAGCAATGAGTTTCTTTTCGCTCTTTTGTTTAATGTTATCTGACAGCATACATCTTCCACCTTGAATACAGCGTGAAATAAATTCTCTTGGTTTATTTGAGAGGTCATATAAATTTCCATTCGGGAAGTACACTCTGTTCTCAAACAATTTGTTAGCAATTGAACAAATACTAACGTAGTCATAAACGTTTAAATCAAATTCTTTCAATATGTCATTGCGGAACTTAACAAAACCTTCTCTTAAAATTCTTACATCTTGTTTGCAATAAAATGTGCTATACTTTTCTAAGTCGAAATGGTTTTCATCTATTCTGCAACCTTTGATGGAATCTATGTTTTTCATGAATGTATCTGCATCCCGGATAAACTTACATGCTTCAGAAATGACACCAGTTCTGTTGTCATTTGCTAACAAAACACTGCTGTAGTAGTTGTATGGAAATACTTCTTTCGGTCCTGTTTGTAAGTTAAACATAGCAGGAAATAGTTTAAGCTTCTTATTTATAACACTGTAAGAGTCTTTTATAATAATTGCCCTTCCTTTATATAAGCCAGTTATTTGCATTGTTCGTGAACCTTTAATGATGGGAGTTCCTTTCACTTCTGTCATGTGTCTTAAGATGAAGTTTATATCATAACTGAGGTTATGGAAATATATTAAACTCTTGTCAGGAAGTCGTTCCAAAAATTCTGTTGCACAGTTCTGACCCCAAATGCTTTCACTCACTGAACCATCTTCACTGTCGTAACAGATGTTAAAAGCTTTATGAAAGCCGTCTGTGCTACACTCAAAGTCAGCAAAGAAAACTTGCTCAGGAATGAACTTACATTTAGCTTTATTTACTTCTTTTGACTCTGCTTTCTTCTTCAGTTGTACACAATACTTTGGAGCATATGTCAAATCTTTAAATGGTGCAAGGTTCTGTTTATATAAGTCAGTCGTATATGTGAAAAGTTCTCCATAAGAAATAGGTTCGAAATATTTGCACTCCCACAATGTTTTCATAACATCCCATAGCGGTGTAGTTCTATCCATGCGAACTACATATTTATCTTCTCTCTTTGTATAAATCTTCATCTGTTTCTCAATGTTCATTCCACCACACTCCTTCAAGATTTCTATATAGTTGCGAATGAAATATGTTGTCATTGGTAATCTTTCATTTAGCATGTAGTGGTCTTCAACAAGAAGTAAGTCAATAGTTCGAACAGTTTCACATTCTTTTGGTATATATCTCTTTATTTCATTATGTCTTGAGTCATTGAAATAACCAATGGTAACATTAAATGCTATACCTGTTGCGTCAGAAATTTCTTGTACTTTACTTTGAGGAAAGTCTCTAACACGAATGACTTCTCTCATGTGGTCAATAGTTTCTTCATTTACTCCAGCCTGAATGCAAGCATAAACGAAGCAGTTATCTTCTGTCATAAGTGTTGCAGTTCTTTTGTTCAGTTCATTGAAGATTTGGTAGCGCTCAAGATTTATAGGTAATGTGCAAAGATACTTCCAGAACTGACCGCTTCTCTTCTTATAAAACTTCTTTTCACCATTATCTTTCCAAAAGCTTTCTATAAGTGCTGGGTTTCCTGTTTGCTTAAGAGCTTCCAAAATGGCTTTCTGGTCATTTGTCAGTGTGCTTTCATCTCTATATGGTCTCTTTTTTGGTTTGCCTTTCTTTACATCTGACATCGTTAAGCCTTCATATTCTGTTAAATCATACATCTTTATTTCAGTAAGATTCTTTATGTTTGTCAAGAAGAAGTCATAGTGCATTTCAACAATACCTGCAGCATTTGCTTCTATCTCTGATATAAAGTTCTCCTTCAAGAGCTGATGTAGTAATGTTCCAATATTATTGAGGTTTAACGTAGAACATTCATACTTTCCACCAAGTTTATAACATACCATCCATCTTTGTTGGGAGTTTATTTTAATCTTCTCTAAGAGTCTCATGAAAACCTTACCGAAATGTTTGTGTAAGTAGTCTCTGTTTGGTTCATCTAAAGCTTCGATGTTAAAGTCAATGAGTCTATTGCCTGTCAACATTCCTCTTCCTATTCTCTTCATCTTTCTTTAACCATCTCTCACCTTCTTTTGGTTTGTCGTCAATGGAACGAATGACATCGTTAGCTTTGCGAACTTGTTCTATAGCGCTCTTAAATCTCTCTTCTCTGTTGTTTCAGTGTGTCGTCTCTTCTTCTTGTTTCACCAACGTTTGCATTTGTTATGTCAAACATTTCTCTTCTTACTTCATGAGGTACTGAACGTCTATGATATAAGTCAATAGCAACGTCATTTAAAGGAAATGCTCTTGCATGGACTTCGTCCTCGCCGCGTTGCGGCTTTATGAACTCATGAATTCTATCATAACTTATTGCACCATTATAGTCATTGAGGATGTCAGCGAGTGCTTTTTTGTTTGTTGCGTAATGCTTTGCAACATCTATATTAGCTTCTGTAAGAAGTTGTTTTATTTCCGAGTGTTCTAACTTAGACAACTTCCGATACATCTTTAGTAGGAAATAAAAAAATATTTTTTTGAAAAAATTAGATTAGATTTTTTAAAGTTATTTTTCAAAATAATTTAATATTTTTATTTTAATGAAACACATGCAAGATTGCAAGTTCTTTTCATACAATGCTCTCGCTACTGCCATCAAGAATGAGTTCAATAATGCTTCAAATGTTAATGTTATCTTTAGCAAGAAGTTTGTGAAAGAATCTAAGTTTGGTCAGTATGTCAGACCATTAGCTATCGTCATTGACCGCAAACGTTATACTTCACAAGAGTTAGCAGTAGTTTTGAAACAAAAGAGTTTCTTCGTGAATGTCAAAGATACTCATTATACTGTCATAAAGAACTCTAACATTGACTTCTTCAGTATTGCTTTAAATCTTTCCGAACAGAAAGAATATAAGAAGGGTGAAACATCTGTGAAATATTATCCTTCATCTCTGAAGACAATAACGAACAAAGATGTTATACAGAAATTCTTACCAAAGGTTGAAGAAGCTTCTATTGACATTGACGAAGGAAGTGAAATGGTTGAAGAAATAGACCCTGAAGCTATTTAAGCAAAAATATATTTTTGGTTAGTCTTCATATCGATATTTTACAACAATTCCCCAATGTATAAACTTTTCATACGCTTTTTCATAAGCTTTATATACCTTCAGAAATTTTGCATAATCTTTAGAAGCATTTAGATATTGTTTAAATGCTTTGTATGTCTTCAGAAATTTTGCATAATCTTTTACATGTTGTTCGTTCTCTTCTTCTGTCATGAGTTCCGAATATTCTAAATTCATGTTCTTTCATATGAGATAAATTTTATAAAAAATATAGCTTAGATTTTTTTATTCTTCCTCTTTGAAGTTATCGAAATATTCTGTTATTTTTTCCTTCAGTAATGGTAAGTCTTCTTTGAATGTAAGTATTGTACAACCTTTGATGTCATAGTGTGTTTGAGGAAGAGTATTTTTGACAATTTCCTTTATTTGCTCATTCGGTGTCATTGAAATCGGTAAGTTGTCACGATAGAACCAGTTTCTGTCAGATTTATATATTTTAGCTAAGTCATAAAAGCTCTTGTTGTTTCTTCTGACTAAATGCAACATAACCATATCTTTATCTTCTTCTTTCTCCAACTCTTCAGTATATATCATATACTTATAACTCTTTTCCTTTCCTTTTGGTACTGAACGCGGTATTCTTTTCTGTATGCTTTTGTCTTTGGATTTAATGACTTCATCTTTTGCTTGAAGTTTCTTTTCCATCTCTCCACGTTCTGCTTTATATAGTTCATCTAACATCATGAAAATATAACAAGCATAACGTGGTGAAGCCCACATTGCTACAGCATTTATTAAAAGTCTATGAACATAATATCCTTTCAAACCAGGAGCCAAATTCTTGCGATTTTCGTACGGAATCTCTTCTCTCGGTTTTCCGAGGGAAGCAATCATATGAGGAAATTCTTCTAAAAGTTCTTTTGTCTGTTGGTTTTCAAACCAATGATATGCTTGCTTTGTAGAACGAAGAGCATTCATTATACTTTGCATTTGGTACATGTCATCTTTGACCGAACGAATGAGGCGAAGTTGTTTGTTATATTGTATGTATTCGTATTCTTCATTTATGGCTTCATGAACGATAGCAGTTGTTGTGTTCTCTAATGTTGACATTTCTGTTCTTACATACAAAATAAAAAAATAAATAAAAATAAAACTAACTTTATTTTTCTGTGTTAAAGAAATGTTAAAAATTCATGGTTACATATGTGAAAAGAAGTCACGAACAAATGAAGGTCATAAGATTTGTCTTGAAAAAATACAAGACTTGTTCTGAAAAAAATACAAGACTTGTCTTGAATCAGGACAAAACTTTACAAAATGTAAACTTTACATAACCGTTTCTATCGTACATGATATTTAGTTGACATTGTAAACTATCTTCATGTAAAGTATGGCGGTTTGAAACCGTCGGGAACCTTCACTTTTTTGACGAAGTGCGAATCTTCACTTCGTGTCATGATGCAAAAATAATGAGTTCATTTACTCACAATATTTTTGTACAAAACGACCCCAAACTTTTAACTTCTTTTCTGCAGCTTCTAATGCTATCTTAGCGAGTTCATATTCTCTAAATTCTCTCTTTAAATCTTCTTGTTCCCATTGGTCTAGTTCGTATGGAGAATCTCTATAATCATAACATATCTCACGTTCATGTTCTAATTGTTTTTCATGCATTTTTCTAACTTCTTGTTCAAACAAAGGTTTAGCATTCTCTACTGTATCTTCGAGTTCTTCTTCATCTAACTTCTCATGAACTTTCTTGTCTATGGAGTCCATAATATCTTTGACATAAAATGCATACTTTACAGAGCACCATTCAGCAACAAAATGAACGAAGTCAGGATGTATGTAAATACCTTTGAATTCATTTATAACACCCTTAGTAAGCTCATAAAATGCTTGTTTTGAGGTCGAGCCACTTTTGGCTCGACCGTATTCTTTCAACCAAAACTCAAGAATTTCCTGCATTTTAGCACTATTGAGAAATCTGTTTAAATGGTTTAACTTTCCTGCTTCTCTTGCCATCTTTGTTGCATTAATGTAACCATCCTTGTCTCTACGTAAGACTTCAATACCGTTATAAGTGCCTTTTGTGAATGTTTCGCCATTAGATTTGTTAGTGAATGTTTTTGCTTCGACTGACATTTCTGTTCTTACCTACAAGATAAAAAGTTAGAAAAAATAAAACTAACGTTATTTTTCTATCATTAAGAAATACATGAAAATTCATTATTTTTGTTCATTTATGTTAAAATAAATGGTACCATTAATGATATCATGACTGTTCTCGTTCATGTCTGATTTACATCCAACGAAAAAGTTTAGAAGAACTTTCTTATTCTTTCTGGCATGTTTTTATCTTTCCAATACTCCCGCTCTAATGGTCCCAGATGTGTTGGCTTCGACTCTCTCAAGTTCTTAGATGGTATAACATCTTCAACGCCTCCTTCATATCTTACTTTATAAGTGTCATCGTTTATGTTATAGCCAAGTATTTCAATAACCACTCCTCGCTTTGCTTCGTCAATGGTTTTAGCAAGTTTGCCATTACTACTTTCGACTAATTTATGACGAGGGTAAAATGCTATGGAGTCGTCAGCAGCTTTTATAAGATATCCATTACCTTGCGTTGAATCTACGATATAATAATTTCGACTTAACCTTAAACGTTTCTTTGTCAACGGTTTGTCGTCAAGAACTACACGAACTTTTGTACCAGCAATGAGTGTAAATTGTGTTGAATTTCTGATATTTTGTGTTTGGCTTCGTTTCTTTTGTATATACTTTTCTTCTTGTTGTTGTGTCATTGAATTTGGTGTATATCCTGTTGTAGAATGTGTTGAGGAATTATATACTTCGAGAAAATGTTTCATTGTTTCTTCGGTAAAGTCTCGCTCTTGATTTAAATCTCTGAGAGTCCTTATGAAGCGGTTTATGATACCGAGTATGTTATGGTTATGGTCTTCAGTAGTGTAGTGAGTTATGTTATGCTTATTGAGAAAATCTGTGATTTCATTGCTGAGGTATGCTGAATCCTGGTCTGATGTTAAAGTACTTGGGTTATGTTCTGCTACAAACTTTTGTAAAACTCTTAACACTTCACGAGTTCCTTTATTTTTCATTGGATATGCATATGCTTTGCGAGTGTTAACATTAATGAAGATGAGGAATGGTTTATGTCCTCCTTTTCTGCTTTGAATGAGAGTGTCAAATTGGTATGCGTCAGGAGTGTTGGAGTAAATTGGTAAAAAGTAGTCGTAAGGGTTTATTTTTGTTTGATGTACAACATTTTTGTCAAAGAACTTTTTAACTTCAGCTCTGTTAGTAAATCCCCAACTTTTTGCTGCTTCATTGAACTTCTTAAATGACCTCCATGGATGTTGTTCGAATATTTCTTTCAAGCTCATTTATGTAAAGTTAAAGATTTTAAGCAGCTCTGAACCATGCGAATATAGTCACAAATGGTGGCATGTAATCTGCACCCGAACCCGTTGGATTTGTTGTGAAAGTGTGTGAATGATTTCCTGTGGTTCCACAGAAAATACCTGCGTTTGAATCTACTGGGTCAGTTGAAATATCATATCTATTCATTCCCTGTCTATCCGAACCTGCTGCAAGATTTGTATAACCTCTTTTTGTTATTGAATGTGAATGATTACCTGTTGTGTTTGTAGTTCCTGTATGAGTGTGCGGTGGAAGTTTTGCTTCTTTAATTTTCTTCGAACCTCCTGTTTGCTTTGAATATCTAGCACAGTATAAGAATTTGTCTACAATCTGCTTCCACGTACCAAAACCTAAAACACTTGCTGGATTTGTTGAGTTCATTGACGTATAAATAGAGCCTATAGGATATAATGTTTGAAGTATTTCTGTCTTTAATGTTTGAAGCTCTGTTTTGTCTGCTTTCTTATCTAACATTGTTGGTAGTTCATATGCTTCAAAGTTTCTGGCATGATCTTCGATATTCCTGCAACTGTTATCTAAATTGTTAAGAGTATCTTTTACGCTTGTACTTGGATTTTCTAATGGTGCACTTGAACCAAGGGTATAGTTCAATATTATGTCGTCTGCTCTAACAGTAGTGAAGGATTTATGTGTATGGTTCTTGTCAGCTTTATTATCATATAAATCTTGAGCAGTGAATTTAACATTATTTTCATCGTCCATGACATAAACATTTTTACAGCTAATTTCTTTCTTCGTTGTTATGTTTTCATTCGATGTTAAACCTTGTGGAAAGTTAGGAGGTTTATAATATAATGCATTCCCACCAGTTCCGCCAACCGTTCCTTCAATACTTTCTATAGCAACAGTTGAGAAGGAGTTATGTGTATGATTTTTGTCTGCTTTCTTATCTAACATTGCTGGTAGTTCATGTGTTTCAAAGTTTCTGACATGACCTTCAATGTTCATACATTTTTATTTAAGGAGTTTAGTGTATCTTTTACGCTTGTACTTGGATTTCTAAGGTGCACTTGAACCAAGGGTATAGTTCAATATTATGTCGTCTGCTCTAACAGTAGTGAAGGATTTATGTGTATGGTTCTTGTCAGCTTTATTATTTAATGTAGCTTGAAGTTCATTTATATCGGAGATATTGTGTTTATGAGATTTCAAAACTTTGTTCGTTGCGTCAAGTTCATCTTTGTCAGCTTTACTTTTAATAGTATCTTCAACGGTTATTTTTGTCTTAACTCTCAATGTAAATCTTGGTTCAACTAATACACCGTTAACAGAGAAAGTATGAAGCATAAATTTCATCGTTATAACCAAATGCTTCTGGTGCTTTACCTGTGTCATACTGTACAGTACAGCGTATATCATAACCTTTAGCACGAATGAATTTATATCTTCTTTCATTAACATCTTCGTCTTATTTGTTCATCCTGTGTTAAATATCCATGGTAGTCCGTTATAATCTGTTCGTCTGAACTTATATAATGAACATGGTTTTTATCTGCTTTTTCGGCTAATTTCTCTTCTATCTCATTTATTTCAAGTTCATGCCTACCACCACCTCCCGAAGAAGTATTTTTCTTCAGCTCTTGAAGAACGTCCACTTCGCCATCTTTGGTGTCAATAATGAGACTTTGAGTTAAAACCTTTCCTGTCTTAATGGATGTTTGTAAAACTTCTTCTTCACCGTGTTCGGGTCATGGTCGTCATCATATCTTGTGAAATCAGAGATGTTGTCATACATTAAGCATATCTGTCTCAAAAGTTCTGCTATTTGAAACTGGAACGAAAGATATACAGAACTTTCATCATCTCCTAAAGTCAAGTCTGCTTTCTTAAGTATTTCTTGAATGTATGCAATGAGAACAGAGTACCTTGGAAAATATTCGAACAATATTTCATTAGCTGTTGGTTTTGGTGGTTCTTCTGGAGTTTCTGTTGTTTCAGTTCCTTCTGTAGGTTCTGTTGGAGTTTCTGCATCTCTTGACTTCAATGCTCTTGCTCTCAAAGACCTAAATGTTAGAGCACCAGGTTTTACAAAGGACTTTATAAATGCTTTAATAGTTCCTGGTAAGTTATTGTTAGCATTAAGTAAGTTCCTTATGCTTCCATCATGTACGTCCATAGCACTATGTAAAAAATCTATACTTTTCTTGTAGTCAGCAATAGACTGACTGTGATTTTTTAAAGATTTGTCAATACCTTTAAGCCAATCTTCATGCATGTCTGATACTGAGCCAAGAATATCATTTGCTTCCTTTAGTGTATTTTGTGCTTCTCGTAAAGTATCCAATCCCGTACGTGCATTGTTTGCTATACGTCTTACAGTATCTATTTGACTCCTTGTTTCTTGCATCCAACCAGATAAAGTTTTAATAGTATCCGAACCATTTGAAATGAAGTTCAAAGCATTTTTAACGTCATCTAAAACTTCTTCACCAAGTACTGCCCATATCTTTCCGATTTGGTATTGAAGAACTCCATATGAAGCAGCTGTTAAACCAGTATTTATAAGGTTCCATATCCATGATTTAGCAGTTTTTCCATCCTTTCCATCTTCACCATCCAAACCGTTTTCGCCTTGAGGTCCTTGTATTCCTTGTATTCCTTGTATTCCTTGTATTCCTTGTGGTCCTTGAGGTCCAGTGTCACCCTTCTCTCCTTTCAGTTCATCTTTATGTTCGTTATAATATTCTAATGTCATAAGGTGTACATCATTACTGCTACCAGCAACGCCGAGAATTTGTTTCTCATTCATGACTAAATTCTTTAGGCATTTAATGTTGTCGTCAAATCGAAAGCTCTTTAACAATTCAATGAGAACATTTAATACTTTCACTATGAGGCATCTACTGTAGAATTTATATATTGCACCGTTCCATCATTTATGATGGGAACCTTGCTTGTTGTAATGAATGGGTCATAAGTGTTAAAAGTATCGAAATCAATGACTTTTTTAGTTTTTCCATCGTCAATGACTAAATCATTGCCTTCAATGGTTAAAGTTGAGTTTTCGTTTACTAGTTCATGTGCTCTTCTTGCTTCATTTGTTTCATACGCATATGCAGCAATAGTCATATTTTAATGAGAATAAAATGTGTCTATTTGCAAAGTACAGACCCAACGAATACGGACAGTAAAGCTACAAACAAACTTAGGTCTTCAGAATGAAGCGCTTGCTTTCAGAGTTGTTGACTTCAATACTATCGCAACTTTTGTCATAACAGATGAAACAGATTTCATAGAGATTGAAATAGATGACAAAAGAAGTGTTATAACATTTCCTAATAGAGCTGGGTATAGAATAGATAAAATTGCTGGAGTGTTAAATGCTCTCATAAATGAAGAAACTATTGACAACATAGATGTCGAACTCTCTTTCTGAGGGAACATTGAAGTTCAGCAGCGAGAAAGATTTAAGATACCAAGATGAGTCATAGAGTACAACTTTTTTGGGTGCATACCATATGACATTTCCTTTGAAAAGTGTTGACAAAACGACGAGATGAAAATCTGTTCCATACGTATGTTATGGTAATTTTTGTACGTTGAGTCAAAAATAGCTAATGTCACAGGTATTTCAGGAGTTAATAGTAAAGGTTCAGTAGAATATAAATCCTTCTGTTATGCAGTCAATTCAATGTTCATTCCAAACGTTCCTGTCATAGCAACTCATTTAGGTAAATGGGTTCGCATTAGTCCTCATAATTTGAAAGACATGCAATTCAGACTTGTTGACTTTCAAGGAGAGCCTGTAGAACTGAAGGCACCAGTGCGAATGACTGTTGAAGTTGACTTTTTAGAAAATATTAAATGCAACAGCTTACAAGAGAACTCAGAGCTAAAAATATAAAGTATGAATGTTATGTATTAGGTCATGAACTTTGGTTGTTGCTGTTTGATGAAACAAATGAGTTAGTTATGTCAGTCAAGAGAACAGAAAAATATTGTGTTAGTGAAAACTGCACCAAGTCAATAAGATTAGGTCTACATTATGAAGATGAATTCAATACTGTTGAAGAAGTTTTGGATAGATATTACAAATTGCTAACTTGAAAATTTTTTTGACTAACGGCGCAAAGCGCCAAGATGGGCTCAAAGAGCCTCCTGACTGTTTTAATTTACTAAAACATATTTAAGACATAATTTATAGTAAGTAGATAGTTTTGTATACTCATTTGAATATCTATACTTAAACTCAACTCCTGGAGTACCTGGTATTTCAATGATGCGGATGTTACCTATTTTCATGAATAGTGGTGTTTGACCACAGCATTCGATTTCAGGGTCGAGATAGTCAATGACAGATTGTTTCCCTGTTATTCGTGAGATAACATTTTCAAGGTCCTCCTTTGTTAGAATTATTTGGTTCTTACTTATAAGATTTGTCAAAAGCTTCTTATCGTCTTTGAGTAAAATTGTTTGGTATAACTGAAGAAGGTAATGGTCTACGTTATCTGAAGGATTTGTTTGAACATTTGTGTAAGGGTTGTCGTTGGCTTCTCTTGAAAGAACTTGGTCCAGTGGTGGATACTCTAACTTAACATCTGATGTAGCGTTAGCGTTTGAAGCTGTGTTTAAATTCACCGACTTAAGATCTGGTTCTTTTTCTTTCAAACACTCCGAACTATAGTTCTTTATGACAATATTGTTTGTCGTTCGTGAGTCAACATTTGATGTTGGTTCAATTGGAACATTAACGGCACCAGCTAAGATGGATTTGCTTCTCATTTCATATAGAATAAAAACCTTTTATATGTATGAAATGAACAATATACTCGACAAGGGTTTGAATGTAAAGCTAACGAATGAAAATATTGTTGAATTCACTGAGACAGGTGCTGTGTATAAAGATGTAGAACTACTGAACAAAAGAGCTAAGGGAAGAAGCAGGAACATGAACAAAGGGTGGAAGCCTATAAAAATTTATGTCAATGATGGCTCAGGAGGTTCAAACATAAAGTATGCAGAAAGTTATAGAGTTTATGTTCTCAAAGGTGAAAAGCCTTCATTTAAGAACAGCTATTCTAACGCATATCCTCAAAAGCTAACGGATGGGGAAGTGGATGATATGAATGACAGCAAAAATATTAACAGAAATGGCGACAGAGATGCATGGAATTTGTTTACCATCAGTCAATTGAAGGTTAAACTTTAAAACAATGTTGGTCGTTCCCATGGAATATTTTTGACTTTAATGGTATTAGTCATGATATGAATCTCAAGGTATGAACGAGGAGAGATGAGAGACTTATATGCTTCCCAAATTTCTTCAAAAGGTAATGTTATACCTGACTGTTTCCAAATGAGTTCAATATCATAGCGTGAGAAACCTTGAAAGATAACGAAGTCAGTTATGAGACGTTTTATGTTTAAAGCTAAAAACCTCCATATTTGCATAAGTATTGCTACAGTTAAATGGTAATGTCTGACTTTAGTAATGATGTTAGCTAATGGTGAGTCTGGTTTTGACACTAAACCTTTTCCGGCGAAGTCGTCACAAACGAGCAGAGTGTTTGAAGGATACTTTTTGAAGGGGTATTTTGAAAGTTTTGATAGAATGTAGTTTGTAAGTCGTTTCATATCGTAAACTCCTGAGTATTGACGTAAGTGGTGTTTGTCAATAATTCTTTCCATCTCCTCAGAAGTCTTTTGCATTCCTGACTGTATGAACTCTACGATGGCATAATATTTTCTCTTACGTCGAATGTAACGTTGAAGAAATTCAATGAGTTCACTGTCTGGAACTTTAACGACAGAGGCTTGAACTTTTGACATAAATGTTTTCGCTGTTGAATCCATAGAGTCTGAAGTTGCTGATATAATGATTTGGTCATAGTAAGAGTCGTTTCCTAAACGCTCTGTTATAAGTATATGACGAATGAGGTTAAATGTCTTACCTGAGCCCATCTTTCCACAATAGAAATACACACCATTTGAACAGAATTCATAATCTTTGCTGAAAGGAAGAATAAGAGAAGAGTTAAGTTTGTCTGTAGTTTCATTCATGTCTTCATCTACGTCATGTATTAAATGCTTCATTTTATCTCCATTAAAAATGCAAGTCAGAAATATTCAGAACATAGCACCGAGTCTAACTGACAAGAGTATAAAGATATACTATGAACATGTTATGATGAAACCAACCAAAATTCAAGAAAGTCAGTATACTTATGAATATCCAAGACACTGGGTAGAGTATGTAGGAGGTGAGAAAGCTATTGAAATCAGACAGGTTCGAAGTATTCCAGCAGGAAGAACAATATTATTGAAGAACTTTAATGTTTTGAGATATAATGATGAAACAAAGAAGCAAGATAGTTTCCCTGTTGCTGTGTATGTGAACCTAGACACAGGAGATGACATGAAAGTTTTTAATACAAAGCTTCAAACGGTAGTGAGAGAACAACTGACTGCGGAAGGGCATCCATTACCTTCAGAAGTTACCATAGCATATAATTTTGAAACAAATGCAATAGATTTTAAAGTCATCTCTGCAAAGAAGTCAGGTTTTACATTTAATGAAGCAGATGTATATTCGAATGAAAACTTCAAAGCTATTGCATGGTGAGATAATGACGATTGCTTTAAGAAAATATTTAAATTCAGTGACTCAACGATGTCAATAGATGACCTTCGTGGAATGTTACCATCGACGTTTACAGTAGAAGGTTCAGCAGGATTGCTTACAAGATTGTCAATTGGTGGTATTTGGTCTCGTGAGAACATTGTTATAAAATCCAGTATAAGTGAATTTGCTGAAGAATCTATATTATGTCTTTCAAACTATATGTATTCACCGCCAAAGCATTATAGTATAACAAACTTTGTCAGTAAGTTTAACATAAGACTTGTCGAACCTTCTACAATGAAAGATGTTGTGCTACCCAAAGACGGAAAGGATGGACTCATTATTGAGATGATTTTAATAGCATATTAAATGAGCTTGTTCTTGAAGGTCATTCATGATGAAATAACTGTTGTAGAAGATGTTAGCAATTGTTCAGACATTTTGAAGCGTATAGATGATATAAGAAATAAGTTAGATAGACCGCAAAGCGGTGAGGGCGAAGCCAGTGAGAACGCTTATATTTCATTGACTTTCTCCAGTAACGAGAACTTTTATGAGATAATATTGAAGAGAGATGATTTTAATATGGGGTAAATGGTAGCTTGGGCAGCTTTAGGCGCAATGGGAACAAAAGCATTAGCATTTGGAGCAAAAGCACTTGGAGCTTATGACGCAGTAAATAAAATGAGTGGAGGAAGGGTTTCAAAGACATTAGATGCAAATAAAGGAAAGATTGGAGGCTGGGTTGCAAAGAAGTTAAGATTAAATAAAATGGGGCTCATAAATAAAGCATCCAATTTGGTTGCGACTGAGTCAGAAAATGCTTTAGGAAAGGACGATGAGTTTGCAAAACACGCAAAAGACTTTAATGACCAGATGAAAGGTGAAACAATGCATTTAAATAGAGTCGATGGAACTAAAGAAAATGTTTCTTCTCCACCAGTAGTTCTTCCATACGGACCTTATGGAATGTATGGAAACCCTTATGAACGACCATTTGACCCATTGACTGGTGGAAGTAACTGGTATCATTACGGCCGAAGAAGAAAGACAGTCAAGTTGGAGACAGACGTGAAGAAAGCAACTAAAAAGAAACCAAGGAAGAGAGTTATAAAGCAATGAATTCAACAGGGTGAAAAACCAGGTGAAAAAAGAGGTGAGATTTCACCACTTCACCTAAATTTATTTTTGTGCTATGTTTTCATACGTGTGAGGGTGGTGATATCATTTATTTTTAAGTTTATTTTTAAGTTTATTTTTATATAAATGACGAAAACTATTGAGATAACAAACTACAACGGTCATGAGCTGCACAATGGCAAAGAGCAGTCTCACCAAGGTTAGGTGTTCCACCAGCTCCTGTCAAAAATAGCATTTGGTCAAGTCCTTATATAAGATATGGTCTCCCACTAGGTTTGCTAGCTACAGCAGGAGCAGTTATGATGTTGAAAAGAAATAAAGCAAATGTTGTAAATAATACTGAAGTAGCTGAAGTTAAACAAACTCCAACACCTTCGCCAAAACCAACGTCAAAACCAACGCCTTCACAAGCAAAACCTTCAATGACTCCTGAACCTATGGAAGTACAAACTCCTATTCAAAAGTCAACTCCTAAACCGACTCCAACATTTAAACCAGAACCTACTCCTCAAATAAATCGTAAAACTCCTGCGTTTCCTTACTGAAAAAAAATAACGTTATTTTTATTTAATATTAAAATTTTTATTTGATTGAAATGACGACTAAAGTCACTGAAGCAATGAAACAAAAGTTTTTGGTAGAATACATTAAATCAGGAACTATTCCAGAAGGTTTTTACATTCATACTATGAAGGATGGTAGAGTTCAGTTTAGAAAGATAAAGCAACCATTAGATAAAGAAGGAATTTTGAGAAAGATTAAACTTCATGAGGACAACATTGCTGAACTTAAGAAGAAGTTAGAAGAGTTGGAGAAAGCAGATGACAGTGAGGAATAAAATATTTCATTAGTTTTATTTTTACTGAAAATTTTTATTTTTATATAAATGACGAAAACTATTGAGATAACAAACTACAACGGTCATGAGTTCAAGAACTTGTTCTTCGTTCCTCGTGAAAATACATTTTATCAGATACGAGGGAGAAAGGGTAAAGTTAGTTTGAGCGTTTATGACAACAAACATAATGGGAGATATATAAAAGCAATAGATACAAACGGTAAGCGTGTTTCATTAGCTTTGTCAAAACTTACATACATTTATTTTGACAGTGACTTTGACTCTGACGATTGGAGTGACAGCAGCGATACTGAAGAATATGAACTATTGTGTGAAGCACAGCAATGGGAAGCGCTGCAATACTTTTGTAAATGAGAACATTAGTGGGAACGTTAGTGAGAACGTTTATTTTTTCATTAGTGAAGTCGTTAGCGAAAATGTTAGTGAGGTGAAGTGGTTGGCGGCTTTATAAATATTTAAGGTTAAGTTAGTGTTGTCGTTTGTGTTGTAAAATATACGTTAGCGGTTTTATAAAGTGTCAAACCGTTATCTTGGGTAAGGTGGAACGCAATGCCGCCGTACCCAAGATAGGGATACTAACTCACGTAATGAAAATTGCAATAGGCAACAATTGCAATCAATTGATATCTTTGCCTTTCGACTGTTGGGAGTGTCAACTTTTTCGGGAAGTCAAAGATAACTTGATGAATCGAATCATTCTGCCACTCTCTCTGAATGTCGAAAGTCAAGAATTGTGGCCATGATGTGTTCCTTGTAGTTGACAAATGATATTGACTGGCATGATCGAGATCTGGTTCTCCAATTCTGGTGTGAATCGAGTAGCAATTTGTTTGTTCGTTGGCACTATCACGGTAAGTGATTCGGAAGAGTTGACCGATTCCTGGTATTTGCTCTGCGAGATCTGTGATCAATCTTGTCATCGTGTCATCACAATCTTGTGCCTCATATGTTGAGTTACCAAGTAATGTGGCAAGTTCATGGGGAACGAAGACTAAACCTTTGGACTTCAATGAATTCAAATTTGTAAAGATACTTGACATCTCTGTTACGATGGGAGAGGACTGATTGGCAACCTTCAAAACTTCGGTTCTCACTTCGGATATGTAGAACAGAACCTGTAAACATACGTTCAAATGACACGTATTTCCCATATTATGAAGACCAACAATACCACCTTTAATTGGGTAAAGGTAGTTCGCCTCTTGTGATGACTGTATGATATCGACAGCTTGATGAACGACAGCAATGATGTTCCGCTTTGATGGTTTCATGGAGGGTGCAACAACAGCAGCGACGGTATCGCTTGAAGGAAGAACCTTTGTTGGTGTAAAATCTTCGAAAAGGAGTAACTCTTCATTATCATTCAGGGGTGATCCATCAATGTTATAATTTGTCAAACCGACTAAACCTGATATGATCAGAGGAAGTGATGTGCGCTCACCTCGAAAACCATTTTTCATGCAGGACCAGCATGACTTGAAACGTGCAAAGAAACGCTCGACAATCTGCCTGTCTTGGGCAATGGCGTTGTTGCGTTCAACGTCTGCTTCTTCGTGGCTTCTCTTCATCACCACGGCAGTAAGGTGATATTTCTGGATTCCAATATAGCCCCGGTCGGCAAGTACAGGATATTGGTAATCATCAAATCCTCGCTTTACTGTCAAAAAATCCGAGACTTTTGACAAATCGAAAATCTTCTTGTCATGGACTGCAGCCATAAACTCAACGTTTTGATGTATGGCTTTTCCATCTGGTGACACGAGGACTTGGAGCTTAATACCGTTGCAGTGGTTTTTTTCATCCCAACTATAAAGCCTCTCTTCCTTTACCGAAGGAATGTTGAAAGGAATTGTAGTGCTGTCTACAGCTGCAACAGCATCAGGGAAGTTTGTAAATTTGTTCTTCATTGAAGTTAACGGTGGACAGTGATTGGGAAGAAAATAGCTCGCAAAGATTGGAAATGCAACATTGGTAGTTCTTGTAACTAATTTGGAATAGCATGACTGGGAAATATGTAGCAACGGACATAATGCTGAATAGGGCAAGTATGTGCAGTAATATGTGAGCGTGAGGAAGAGAGACTCGATTGTTGAAAATTTGACCTTCCTTCCTCTTCTGGCCCTTCCACAGTTGGATTCAATAATGTCAGCGAGGTATTCCAACTGTTCATATGTGAAGTTGCACAATGATCGGAGCTGGAGCTTTGGATGCATCCTGATGAATATTGAAATCGAGAACCTGGGCATTGGATTGGTCAATGTCATCTCTTTTGCCTCTTCTTCATTTAATGGCTCTTCATCTGTGTCGGAATTCTCAGGTGTAACAGTAACAACAATGTTCGCCCTTCTGGATTCTTTTATCTTGGTGATGATATCTTCATCGCATGGTTCATCCATGTTGATAAATGAAGTGATTAAAAGATATAAAAATCTTATCAAATTTGAAATAGAGTTCAAAATTAATAAATAATGAAACCCAATCAATTTAATCATATCTAGATATCCTAATATATATCATTTTAAACCTGAAATTAAGAAACTGTGAAGAATTAAAAAACGTTTAAAATCTTTCATACAATTTAATCATATCTATATATTCTAGTATATATCATTTTGTAATAAACAGAAATTCACCAAAAGTGACAGCTCTCAATTTTTTGACATTTGTAAATTCTAAATTGAATGAGAAAAATGAAATAATACTAAGCATAATACAATATTCTAGATTTAATTATAATTAGGAAAAAGTTAGTTTTGAGAGTACCTTTCATAGGCATATAGAATGAAATCTTCTGAAAAATAATATCACATAAACTCATATTATTTTCTAATATATAACTATTTTATATAAAAATCAAATTCAATGATCTTCAAAGCGAAGGATAAACCTCAAAATTTACGAATATAATGAGTGGGAATATAATGCTTATCTATCATAAAACCATATGAAATATCAATTTTTGCTTTACGCCTAATTTTTGACGACAATTAGCAAAAAATGT